CAACCTCTCGAACGCCACGGCTTCCATGGTTCTAGACGAACGGGATCTCCTGTGGGAGGTGGCCCGCTCCGACAACTCATGGCTCACCTCCGAAGTGCAAAATCATGGACTACCAGCACGCCGCATCAACTACAACGCAGGCTTTGACATCTACGACCCCCAGACGTGGGTACGCCTTCAAGACCTACGGCGACAACATAGACCCAAGCGCATTTGGTTCTCCTTCCCATGTACCAAGTGGTGCCAATTCACCAACTTGAACTACAACACCCCGGAACGTCGAGAAGTCCTTGAAACAGCCCGACGTCGAGAACGCAAAATGCTCAGGAACGCCAAGCAGTTCATCCTGCAGGCCCTCGACGAGGACCCGGACTTCGACATCTACTGGGAATGGACCCATCCCTGCGCTGGGTGGGAGCAGCAACCAGTGGTTGACCTTCGTGAAGGTCTACGAGCTCGTGGTCTGGACTGGCTTCCCTGCCGAGTTGACGGCTGTCGCTATGGCATGACCAACAAAGCCGGCACGGACCTCCTGAAGAAACGGTGGTTGATCCGTACCACCGATGAGCGCTTCCATCAGACCTTCCGCGCTCGGGTCTGCACCAACAACCACAACCATGCACGAATAGAAGGAGCCGAGACGAGCCGCTCCAGCTACTATCCACTGCGCCTCGTGCAAGCCATCGTCCGCGGATGGCTATCTGAACTTGCTCCACAACGGTACCTCAAGTACCTCTCGGCCTGTCAGAACCTGTCTGACAAGGACGTCAACCTGGATGACGACCACTGGAACTTCAAGCACTACCAGCACAACGGCATCACCTCCATAGACCCAACCTGGCCATCGCATGCATCCCTCACACCATCTCACGAAAATTGGGAGGCAACTCAATCCCTAGCTCTACCTCCTGGTCATGTTCGCGATGATCTCCATGCTGGAGAACTCCATGCAGATGGTCACCCCGCTAGTGAAGCAATTTTGTCTGTGCCATCAGATGTACCTCAAGATGGTCCAGAACACCGAGCTTGGTCTGCCAAGCTACACCACTTCCACAAGGCCGCTGGGCATCCCACCAACCGCAACCTTGTGCACCTACTTCGAGATGCTCGGCTACCCGAATGGAAGGTTCAAATGGCTCGCGACTTCAAGTGTGCTTCGTGTGATGCTCTTCGACCTGGCGGATCATCTTCCGGAAGTATACCACCGGCATCCACGCATCCACTGTATCGCGCCTGGCAAGCCATTGGCGTCGACGTGACCGAGTGGGTGATACCCAATAGCAAGCTGAAGCTCAAATTCATGCTGATCATGGACCTGGCCACACGTCTCCGAGCTGTGCATGTCATCAAGTGCTACGATGTCCTCCAAATGCAGAGCGAAAGCTCAGCAGACATCATCAAAGGTCTAGCTGAACGGTGGCTGGCCGACAAACCACGGCCAGAAGTCGTCATCCCTGACAACGGCATCACCCTGGTCTCTCGGGACGTGAGCGACTTCCTGTCCGACATCGGTGTACAACTTGCACCTCCTGCGGAAAAGGAAAGCTGGGCACATGGCCAAGTTGAGTCCGCCATCAAGGACGTCAAGATGACAGCATCAGCCATTCAGCTTGGCTCTCCTTCTCAGGACCCGATCATCACCTTGCACCTGGCCATCGCCGCGCTCAACTCAACCGAGTACGTCAAAGGGTACTCATCCTTCCAGTGGTGCTACGGCAAGGACTACTCCATCACCGATGAGGACGTGAGAACCTTTGCCACACTTCCTGAGTCGCCCGACGACGACTACGCACGTCTAGTCCAGCTGCGTCAGAGTGCTGAACAAGTAGCACGCAAAACCCGTGCCCTTCGCTTCCTCTCCAAGCTCAGCAATTCGACTGTGAGACAGCCCATCAGGACCTTCCATCCCATGCAACTCGTGATGGTATGGCGCAAGCAATGGCCATCCCACGTTTACGTTGGCAAGCGGGGCGGTGCTCGAAAATCCGGACGCCCGCACTGGATCGGTCCTGGCCGAGTGGTGTTTCACGAGATCCTTCCACATCAACAACCAAGTGACGCCCGAAGGCACATCGTCTGGGCGCTACTGCAGAACCAGCTCCTGCGCTGCTCTGTCCACTCCGTGAGACCTACCACGCCCCTGGAAGAAACCCAGTTCGAGATCAGTGCTAAGGAAGACGTCTCCCGGTGGCGTTCCCTCTCCGACATGTTGCCCAACAAGGAGTTCATCGATCTTGCCGACGATGAACCCGGAGTCGATGAACAAGAGCAGCCTGATCTGCCCGATCTCCCCAACAAGGAGACCATCGACATCCCCAAGAGGCGGATCCGTGTGAAGTCCGCACCATTTCTGGTTCCTCCACGTCCTGCTCATGTACCCTTCATGGCGGACGACCCGGACTACACTCCCGAGTCACTGGACAGCTCTATGGGACCATCCATGCCGGAGACCTCGACTGAACCTCAAGCCTTACCACCTGATCTACCTGGCACCTCAAGTCCAAGCGCTGATCCCGCAGCTGAAGATCCCAACAGCTATGAGCCAGACAACAAGAAGCAGCGTACCGACGGCTATGACCTGGGCTGGCTCGAGGAACTACACCAAGTTGAAGGTGATCTCCATCAGCTCCTCATCGACTCTCAGGAGGTGATGAAGATCGAGTTTGACGTTGACCTTAACTCCCACCGTAAGGAGAAGGACTTCCTCCGGGACGCCTCGGCCTTCATGGTCAAGAAGATGAGAGACAGCGAGGTTGTGCTCTCCCGCCTCTCTCCTGAACACAGGGAACTCTTCAGCAGAGCCAAGTCCAAGGAAGTCAGCAGCTTCATCAAATCTGAGGCTGTTCGCAAGGCTCTGGACAACAAGGAGGTCAGCGAGGCCTTCGACTCTGGCCGCATCATGCGAGCCAGATGGGTTCTCACCTGGAAACCAACACCTCCAGAAGATCTTCAAGAAGCTCAAGCCGAGGCGAAATCCAACGCCAAGTCCACCTACACTAAGGACGGTCAACGCAAGGCAAAAGCACGCATTGTGCTTCTCGGCTACGAACATCCGGACCTTCTTCGGCCTGAGTTCAAGACCTCTAGCCCTGTGCAGTCTGGGCTGGGGAGAAACCTCCTGTACACCATGGCCTGCACTCACGGCTGGGAACTTGAAGGTCTCGATTTGGCCACCGCCTTCTTGCAGACGCAGCCCACAGAGGCAGATCAAGATCTGTGGACTCGCGGTGTATCAGAGCTTCGTGAAGCCCTGGATGTTCCAGCAGACGGAGTCATGAAGATCCTCAAGAACATCTACGGCTCAACGACCGCACCAAGGGGACTCTGGCTGGACCTTCACCGGCGCCTAGCCTCCATTGGCGGCAAACCACTCATTGGTGAACGCTGCATCTGGATCTGGCAGTCAGCCACGGAGAAGGACGCCTTCGGCATCCCCCTGGTACTTGGCATCATGGGCGGCCACGTGGATGATTTTCATCGCTGTGGCAATCGCCTCTCGCCTGAGTGGGTTCAGGTCTGTTCCCAGATCGACAAGCTCTACGAGTGGGGCACTGCCAAACGTGGCAACTACCGGCACGCCGGAACCGACCTGACCTCCATCATCAACAAGGACGGCTCCGTGGAGGTAAAGATCAATCAGCAGTACTACATCGACTCCATCGCCGATGTGAACATTGATCCCGATCGTCTTCGTCAAGAGAATGCGGTCATGAATCCTGAGGAGGTAGCTGCCTGCCGCACTACCTGGGGCAGTCTTCAATGGCTGGCATTGCAGACTCAGCCGCAGCTCTGCGCCAGGTGCAACCTACTTGCATCTGAAATCACGACCAAGCGCCTCATGCAATCGGCGCTGGAACTTCAACAGCTAGTCGGCGAGATTCGCAAGCACGCCTACCAGCTGCACTACAAGAAACCACCTGGAGTCGAGTCATGGCGAGACATGGTGTTTGTGACCTTCTGCGACCAAGCCCACGCGAACCGCAGCAAGATGGACTCCACCGGCGGCTTGATCTCAGTTGCTACTGGACCTCATGCAAGCGAGGGCAAGGTCACATACATGGCACCCCTGGCATGGCGAAGCTGGAAGCTGCGCCGCAAGGCCATATCCTCAAATGATGCTGAAGTCCAGGCAATCCTGGATGGCGAGGACCAGAACTTCCGCATCCGCGTGCTCTGGTGCGAAATGAATGGAGCCGGTCACGATCTCACCCCACATGAAGACAGGGTGGAATGGGCTGAACGCATGGCCCGCGGCATCAAAGGCATTCTGGCCACCGACAGCAAGGGCGGCTACGATGCGGTGATCTACAACGAGTCACCCATGCTTGGGTTGAGCAACGCAAGAGCCGCACTTCAAGCTCTTCAACTTCGGGAGCATCTCACCCGAACCGGAGCTGAACTTCGTTGGGTGGCCAGCGACTATGATCTCGGCGACGCCTTGACCAAGAAGAAAGCTGAGTGTCGCCTGGGTCTCACCAAGTTTCTTCAAACAGGCCTGTGGAGTGTTGCATACGATAACACCTTCACTTCAGCTCGCAAGAGCCACGGCCAAGGGCGTTCTGCCATCAAGGACGTGACGGCACATCAGCAACGGGATCAGCAGTTGAGAAAGGTTTTTGGCCCATGCGATTCCTTCGGTTGTGACATGTCAACTGTTGATCCACTGCTGCCACCATGGCCCTAGACAGAGGGGCCCCTTTGTCCGCTCGACACCGAGCCACGGTTGCGACCGCGCCATTGGGCGCGTGGACATTCGATCTCAGCGCAAAGGTGCGCTTCGGCTGCTGCGAGCCTCCTTGACCCCCGGTCATTGCAGATTCCTCCTTCCCAAGTCCAACTCTTAGGCGACGCATCGCCGCGCGACGCTTCTAAACCTCGCTTGCTTTCTGCTCTGCTAAAAGTGAATAACTTGTAGTGGTTTAATACGAAAAACCCCTTTTGGCAACAAAAGAGTTCAAGTCCTAACATCCCTTGGCGAAATGCACCGCTCTAAACCCCGCCTCAGCTTCCCAAGCGGAGGCTCCGCGAACGGGATCCCCCACCAAGAGGCGGAGGCCCCATCGCGCCAGACGCCCAACACCGGGCCGTTGGCCGTGTCCACAACGAGGGCCGCATCGCTTTGGTCTTCCGCCTGACTCGTCCATATGCCAAATGGACCGAACACGGTGTGTTGAAAAGCCGCTGTTCAAAACACCGTGGTTGAGCATGAAGGCCGAAATGACTAGAATGCGGTGGGACCAGTTCTTGAACACCTCCTTGAGTCATGATGAGTTCAGTACACTATTTGGCAATATCCGACCTCTTGCACAACAACAAATGTCCATGCCACCTAATTCGGTCAGGGAGCCTCCCACCAAAATTGTTCCAAAGCAACCCCCCGCCCCTCAAAAACTCCAAAATGGCGCGGAATGGTGCCCAAAACCACCTCTCTCTCCTTCGACCAGGTTTTCTTTTGGAGGGAGTATGAATGTTGCCTCGAATTAAAATCACAGTGTTGATGGCCATCTTGCTCGTTTGCATGGCCACAGGCCTATCCACCTTGTCTTGCTCTCGCTATTATTAGCACCTATCTGCTCTTGTCGGCCTGCTAGGGAAACTGAGCTGGCTACTGCTACCCAAAACAGCTTTCACCTTGCCTTCCCAGTCACGCGGAGCAATTTGGGTACATGTGTCAAACTTTGGATATGGGTGGGACCCTGTTGTTTCCTCCTTAATTACAACCAGCCACAAACAGGATGGCCAAAACGAAGACACCGACTTCGGCCTTGGTTCTCTCACCAAACATAGTTCTAAAAAGATTTCTGAAAATCCATCTGGGCAAGTTCCTTTGTGATTCATAAACCGCACAAATGGACTCGCCAGGCCAGGACAATTCGAGCTTGTTTTACTCCCCCAACCCATGTGAATCGCACAAATCGTGCCTCAGCCAGCCACAGCAGCAGCAAGCATCGCAACATGGCGCCCACCATCTCGGACAAATCCGCCCCGATTGGGGCCCTTCAGCCCCCGCAAAAAGCGATCTTGGCGTGCAAGCTAGGTATTGCGCACTAAGCCCCAATTCAAAAAAAAACCTAAGCTTTGCAAAGCTGAGGTCTAAATTTGAAAAAGGCCAACTAAAAGATACGAAAACCAAAGAGCTCGGAGATTGCCGTAAAACCGCAAGGCACCTGCTCTTGCTGCATTTTGGCCAGGCCTAGAGACTCTGACCTGGTTCCAGGGTGCATTTCTAGCGCAAAGGTCAGGAGAAGACTATGTGCCAAGCTCTAAGTCCTCTTGCAGCGCAATGTTCCAAAAGCGCAACGCTTGGTCCGAAAGCTGCATTCGCCGGCTCGTTTTGTCATGGGTGTGTTTTTACTGAGGGTGTTCCTTTGACCTTGATTCAGAGGGAACCCAACAGCAACACCACCGCTTGTTAGGTCCTCCTAGACACATATAGGTTTCTCAAGCACCCACTCCAATTTGCATGTCAGCACTGACACCAGGCACCCCTTCTTCGGTGCCACGTTTGACAACTCGTCAGAAGTTGATGGCCCAATTCCCTGCCAGTAAGTGGTGGATATGTGAAGGGGATGTGCCTTGTCTCCCGGTCAAAAGGGAAACCAAAGGAAAAACCACCCAATTGAGAAGTCCCGTATTTGGGGGGCCTCGGGGGGGTCCCCCCCCTTCCCTGGGTCCAACTGCGCAAACTCGTATGGAAAATGAAGAGCACTCCTTGCATGATCTCTCACTTTCGAACGAGCAGATTGGCCAACACAAATGGAACACCACTGACATGGGTGTGCTCAAAATTTAAGAGCCAGGGTTACGCAGGTTTTAGTCTTTGGTTCCATTTACCAAGGTGCCGTTTTAGTACATGTTTTTGAGCCACAGCCAAATGTTGAAAGTCCGGGAAATCAGGGAGTGCCTCCTCAACTGTCCAGAACGCGGGCGAGCAAACCAATCAAACGAAGCGGGAGCCTGTAACATGTAAGTACTCTCCACTGTCTGGACCCAAATCAGAGTCAGGCTAGTCTTCTGAAGAGGCTTGCATGTTGAGTCTGAATCAGTATGGCCCACAGTGTCACATCAGCCAAGGAAAGTCGCAGCCTTGAATGGCTCCATGCTGACCACAGCTAGCTGAGAGCAAAGTGGGCGGATAAGTCTCCCTCGCCACTAATCCCCGACAACTAGAAGCAACCAACAGCAAGCTGCCGCACCAAACTTTGCGCGTCTTTTCCTTTCTCTCACCGTCAAGCCCTTAGGAAGCTGTGGTCTCAACCAGGCCCTCCTTATTGGTTTCCCAAACGCTCGACCTCTCTCAACGCGCGACATCGACACGTGCGCCCCAAGCCCACGCGACGGTGCCTCGATGGTCTTCAGCAGTTGAAAGCCCAGCGCCACCAGGGGCAGTGCACTTCGGGGCACTGCCGCGCCCTCCCGGACCTAACGGCAAAAGACAACCGACCGCACCGAGGGCGAGGACTGCGCGACAATAACAAGCAGTTGAAGGGTATTGGCTCAGGGCAGTAAGTATCCTTAAGCACGGTTTTCAAGGTGTACCTCTTGAGACAGTTCGTGGACACGCATAGGTGCTTGTACCAACCATGGGACGCACCTTCCGTGACCGGCGCCCTTTCACGGGTGGATTCCGCCGGAGCGAGCGCCGGGCACGACAAGAGGATGCTTCTGAACCATTGGAAGGAAGAAAGCGATGCGCTGTGGATACCATGGCCCCATTCACTCACATTGAACGGTTTCCTGAGGAACGCACGCTTCAAATCTCAACATGTCAGTTGGAATAGACAACTATATACTGGGAGTAGCGTTTCGGACCTATTCAGCTCAAGCAGAGCTGCATTAACCTCTCTCGCACACACATCACAACCACAACTGCAAGAACATCAAGTTGTCAAAACTCCCAGGCCCACGCAATGGCTGTGACATGCTCTCCTCCCCTCCTCCCCCCTCCCCTCAACAAATGTCAAATCAAGCAAAACGTAGAAGATCACATAAAACAAACCGTTAATCACCGCTGAGTTGGGAAGGGTGCAACTAGAACTTGGGATTCTCCAGCGCTGGCAGCATCAACTTCACAGCGGTTTCGGATCCAGGACAAAGAACTTACTGATGCATCGGTCTGGGTCTCTCTTTTTAGGGAATCCTGTTGCATGGTTGTTGTTGAGAAACCGATCAGAAAAACGTACCCTCAACAAAAAGACAGACGCGTTTGTGCTTGAGACCTGGTTGTCTCTTGCAGCTGCCTGGTGGCAACAACAAAGCCCAACACGCCCTTCCTTGGGAAACCCAACCACAAAGATTAACCCCAGCGAGAAGGAAGCCCGTTAGATCATTTCAGCAAGACGACTCAAGAAAAAGTGGGCCGCACCAGCAAAAGGCAAACCCAAGCACAAGAACACCCAAGCACCAGGCGACCCACCCAAAAAAGAAACACCCACAAGCCTAAGGAAACCCACCCAAGGAAAGCCACCTACCAAGAAACCCAACCACCAAAAGGACCACCGGGCTGCCATTCAATTGACTCACCAACGCCTTGCCATGCCTTGGGCGTCCGGACGTGCAGCACCAAGTACTCCTCCGATTCACCGCGACTTGGAACACGGGGCTCCGTTTTGGACTTCCAAGGCAGACAAAAACCTAGGCAGAATATATCCCTTTCAAATCATCCACTGGGATTAACAGAGCTCTCAACTTGGATCCCATGGCTCCCTACATTTGCAAGTTACCGCTTGGGTAACCCCCCATTTTCCTCTTGGATTTTAAGAGGTTCCCTTGGCCTACGCAGGTTTATGTGAATCACTGGACGGCGCTCCCTAGCTTCCCTCTCTGAACGTGTCTTCGCCGAGATAGGATGCTTAATTGAATCTGCACCCCCGAAAGTTTCTTTCCAGAAGGGATCATATGTTGCCATTTTTGAGGGTACCCCTTGTTTGTGCCTAAAGGAAAACCACAAGTTGAAGTGTCATGGGCTCCGGGAGGGAAGGTCGGTCTGACAGGTGGTCCATCCCAGACAAGCCCCCCCCAACCCCCTCCTCCAGCGAGCTTCGGATGCCTGGGCTGATATGGAGTGCAAATGGAGTGCAAAGACGCGGGGGTACTAGCAGTGTACCTGGTGGACCTCCAGGGAGCCACAAGCAACATCGCATACGTCACTTGAGGAGCAGGCGCAGGAAATTGACATGAAACCCTGGTTCATCAACTAGAGGTTAGAATAAGGGTACCCTTTTTCTGTTAGGGGAACCCTCCCCCCACAAAAGTTGTAAAAAGGGCATAGTTAATAGGGGATGTGCCATTTGGGAGGCCACCCATCACCTTTCCCCCCCCCCAAGCACCAAAGTGACCGGCAACTTTTTTTTGGAAGACGATGTGCCGTTCGGGAACATCGGCTGCGGTTCCAAACGTGTCCGCGTTTGGAAGGGTGAGGAAAATAATACTGTGTTTGCTGCTTGATCTAAAGGTGAACCCTTCAATCAAACAAAAGATCCGCAAAGGGTTCATCATATTTAGTCTACCTTTGACCCAGTGGATGTCAGGCAAGCCCCTAATGTTAGATAGCGATTAATAAAACGGGAGTGAATACAGAAAAAACATCTCAAAATTATTCACTCTCCTGAAAAGCAAAAAGGGTAGGTATTACAGAAAAAAATCTGCCCGATATCCCGAAAATATGTTATCAATCCCTTTACTGGAAGATGCACCCTGACAAATTTTCAAGGGGGTGGCACACAGAACCCCCAGGAAGGCAATAATGCAGTTTGTTTAAGGGTAGGGAATTGTGAAGAAAAAAATGGCCAGGGCAGCCTGCCAAGAAGAAAGCCCTGCTGTTCTCAGATAAAGCCAGACATGTCCAGAATCTCTGGATTGCTTCCTGTCCCAAACCACAAAATTCCTTATCAATCCCTTTACTAGAAGATGCACCCTGACAAAATTTCAAGGGGGTGGCACACAGAACCCCCAGGAAGGCAATAATGCAGTTTGCTTAAGGGTAGGGAATTGTGAAGAAAAAAATGGCCAGGGCAGCCTGCCAAGAAGACCAATTCTAAACTGTAGTGAGTCAACTGAAAAGAATACTGAACTAATACTAAACCAATTCTAAACTGTAGTGAGCCAGCTCAAAGGAATACTAAACCAATACTAAACCAATTCTAAACAATACTTACTGGAAAACTACTCAGGCAGGTCCCAGTCTGACCCCCAGTTTGTTTTTGGGGGTTCTCGCTATAGACCCCCCCCAATTCGTTTGAGGGGGGGGGGGGCCCTTTTATGAATCACTCCCCAACATTATAGGTAACCCTTCTCCATTTTCCTTTTGGGCTTTGAAGGGTAGATTGCTTGGTTTCCAAAACAGGACCATGGAATCAGGAAACATATGGCTGGTCAAACATGGGTATCCATTTTGGAACCTGAGTAAATGGAACCAAAACCTAAAACCTGCTGTCCCCTGCGGTTATTTTGACCCATGCCCATATTTTCGCGGAGTTTTGGCTTGGAACCACTGGGCGTCCGAAGGACGGCCATGCCGAGCGACGGAGCGCCAGCTGCAGACCCTGCAGCTGCCGCCGCGCCGCGGCCAGGGCCTCGCCTGGATCCAGGCGGAAACCGGCGAAACACGCGGGCGGCGTGTCTTTTCTTAGGGAACCCCCATTTTTTTGGCGGTTGAAAATCGGAATCCACAAGGCAATCGGAAGCAAACCACAAGGGAAACCACAAGTACCCCTGTTTTGGCGGCTGAAGGGAAGCAATCGGAAGCCACAAGGCAAACAGTTCTGGTTGGGCGGGGTGTGGGGGTTTCCCCCTATTTTTAGGCAGACCCAAACAGAAACAAACACGGAGCAACATCCTACCTGATCCATACAAAACCACCGAAACACACTAGGGGAAACGGCTTCTTGACATGAACGATCGAAAGAACACATGCCCAAGTGATCCCATTCCTTGTGTAGGTCGAATATGAAGCAACGCATTTAAATAC